TACTTTTACTAAATTCTTACTTAAGTAAAACTGTCAAGTCTCTTAAAGAGAAAGAGAGAGAGAGAGAGAGAGAAAGATGCCGGTAGCTCTAAGCACCTGACAAATATTCATGATTATAACAATTATTAAAACCTGACTAAAATTTATTTTAAAAATCTTAAATAAATGTTTCAACTATAATGAGGCCCAGATCCAACTTAACAGCAAGTTCTATGAGCAAGCAGCTGTGTTTTGAAAAAACAACAACAACAACACAGAAAGAGAAGAGTATTTTTGCATTATGAAATATTCAGTAGTTGCTCACAATTTTTTTGTTTCTGCTTTCTTGATTTTCTTTTTTTTTAAATCAGGAGATAGTTGGATACAATTAAATAAAAGTTGCTAAAATTGAGGTAGAGGTAGGTACTGTGGTGCTTAGGGAAAACAAAGTATCTCTAGGTGCCTCTTTTGGTGCCTATAAGGCTTCCTACTCCATCTACATGGTATAAAAATATTATGGTTTTAATTACAAATTAAAATTATTTATTTCCAAGGCCTTTGGACTTCTGGATGTTCATAGTAGGCTGATTTGTCATGTCCTGACAACTGGTTCAGTTTCTGGTGTGCAGATGTTTTGTGACAAGCCAATAAAATGAATGAGCAGGGCCTCACGGATGAATAAATGTTACCAATACATCATTTTGTTTGATCAAAATGGTTGCCTACGCACCATTTTTTGTCATAAATGCAGGCAACATAACAACTGGGAAACATATATATATATATTTAAGTCTGTGAATGTTTCACCATGTGATTTTGTTTCACTAAATCACCATGCAATGGAGTTGGCGGCACGACTAAATGTTTGGCTGCTCAAGCCAGCCCCCAGCCCTGTGGAATGAACTGCCCCCAGAAATTCGTAAGATTTCTGACCTCCGGGTATTTCGCTGCGCACTCAAGACCCTGTTGTTCTGCCAGGCTGGGTTAGCAACATAATTTTAAATTGGATGTTTTAAATTTTTGGGGTTTTAAATTAAGCCAAATTTATTTAATATTTTAAAATTATTTTAAATAGATGTTGATTCTGTTTTTAAATAGGCTGTACACCGCTCTGAGTCCTTCGGGAGAAGGGAGGTATAGAAATAAAATTATTATTATTATTATTATTATTATTATTATTATTATTATTATTATTATTATCATCATCATCATCATCATCATCATCATCATCATCATTATTAACTGACCAAATATGCCAACAGATCTGTTCAACTTTTGGACAGAAACATTCACCGAATTAAATATATCTACATTCCGAAGAGAGAAATCAAAGAAAGCAGGATGCTGCAAGAAGAAAGACGGAAAGTTAGCAGCACAATAGCTGGTCATCGCAAGAGGTCATCACCAGTTTGTGCCAGTTGATTCAAATTCAATTTCAGCAAAGTTTCAAATGACACAATTAACTTTGTGGCCAAACTATCCAATACCATCGATCCGAATTTAAAATTGGCCAACCTATTTCCCAGATGTTATGTTGCCTGCATTTATGACAAAGAATAGTGGGTAGGCAACTTTATGGAAATTTCGACCGAACAAAATGATGCGTTGGTAACATTTATGCATCCACGAGGTCCTGCTCATTCATTTTATTGGCCTGAAAGACAAGAAGTTTGTTGGGTTCCAGAACCACATCTTATTTGCATGCTTTCAGCGCTTTCGGTTACATTGTCAGGTTGACAGTATCAATTTCCAGAAGTGATGCTAGAGCATGTGGCGTGTAAATTCAATAATACATAAGCAATTGTTGGAATTTGGCAGTTCATATAAACAGTATGGACTTCAGCTTTGAAACCATGTAAGATACCCACTTTAGGCTTGGGAACCTAGGATAAGCTGCCTAATCAGCAGCTTGGGAACCAGACAGATACACACACAAGGCTTTGGAACCTCAAGGAAGAAACCAAACTACAGGCTTGGGATCCTGAACCAAGAAACCCACCCGTGGCTGGTATTGCATGGCTATCAGGTGTGCCCCCTATGGCGATGGGGTTGCTGGGTCAAGTGCCTGAACTGGTAGTGTCAATGTCACCATGGACAAATGCAATATAATAGTAGTAATGATGTCTATATAAAACAAACAAGATGAAACAATAGAATGGATGTGACGCTGCCATAGTAACATCCTCCACTTTGTCCCTATTTTTAGGGCTTTATGTATCAGTGATGAAACACCAACTCTATTTTCTTAGGGGGTTTGAAACATGCTCTTTCTAATGAGAATGATTTAACAGAGTTTCCAGAAGGTCTTTTTTTTTGTAAAAGTGGGCTGAAAATATCCTATTTTTGGCATTTTTACAAAAACCATCAAATTTACACTCAATTTGTGAACTATTGGAAAGCAGTAGGAGAATGAAATTTTATATTCGACAACCTTGTGTTGCTAAGTTATTACACACAAAGTTTCAAATTTCTCATACCTTTCAGATATAAGAAGCCAAACTTTACCCTTTTTTCACAACTCAAGTCATTTTTGGCCAACTTTGCTCCCAATTATCTAGATGGAGATCGCTCATGAGAATGTTTTTATTATTTTGTTTAATACAGCACAACAATTTGTACAAGATGGCCAAGTTTTGTTTCTCTCAACAAAATATTGCCAGAGATATTATGTCTCAAAGTTGCTGAAATCTCAGAGTCATACTGTCGAAGGCTGTGATATGGGGTCATACAAATGACTATATCTCCGCAAGTATTGCATCGGCAAACATAACACTTTACCAATAAAGTAAACGTGTGTGCATGTTCATACCAAATTTCATCAAAATCTGTGATGGTCGACCTGGGAGCTCCAGACCACTTGTCATGGAATGACCCACCTACTGTTTTTAATACTATGGTCACTAAATTGGGTAGTTCTGATCCAAAGCCTGCATTAATCATGGGTGATGCAAGTCATCAAGAACAAAGGAAGACAATATTTAAAATAAGCTTTGCAAGCACGTCAAGAGAATATTTATGTAATTCAGGAACTTTGGAAATAAAACTGCATTTTTCAACCAAAAAAAAAAAAACAACCATGAACAAAGATTCTGAAAACCCCAGCCAGTGGGAAGCAGTTAAGAGACAGCAAGCCCCATTCCAAACCATGGCAAAAGCAATTCAAATACAAAAAAAGCACATTGCCATATGGAGATATAAAGAGAAAATCAGCTAAACTCTGAAAGCACTAAATATGCAAATAGAGATATTCTTTAGAGAGGAGCGAATAGAATAACTAATTACCCAACTGGTGCCAATATCTGCCATACTGGCAAACTCTATCAAGTCCACAGGTTTTCAGGAGAGAATCGAGCTGTTCTTTGGCTTGTATTTTAAACTGTACTGCAGGTTAAAACATTTCTTGTTTCCTATTTTTCATTGCTTGTTTTAACCATGTAATAAAAAAAAAATAGAAATCTCAGTATTGTTTAGAATCACTATGGGTAAAATAAAGGGGGAAAACATAGCAATTTAGGGCTTCACCCCAGCATACCAAGTCATAGAGCTGGAATTCGGGTAAGATGGCAAGAGGAGCCCCATCTTGCTCCACATGCCCCAAAATAATAACACCTCTCCGAAAATAAGGCCAATCACTTATTTCGGGGTTCAAAAAAAATATAAGACAGGGTCTTATTTTTGGGGAAACACACACACACATACATATAAAATTTAGTTTGTCAGTAAATATAAATTTAATACAAAATAAATTTTCTTTAATCTTATTGAGGCATGTTCCTTAATATAAGACTAAGCTTAATTAAATGGCATGAAAAGCTTTCTATTGTAATATTTTGTCACAAGTTTTAAACAGTACTTAAATTTTAAGAGGAAGTTATGATTAACAATGACAGAATCTCATTCTTAGATTTATATCTCACCACTCCTCAGGTGCTCCAAGTGGCCTACATAGCAACCCCCCGTTTTTTTTAAAAAAAAATTCCCTTGTTTCGCTTGTTCTTTCTGCCTGTCTTTTCAGATTCTCATATTAGTATAACATTTCAGAGTCTTGCCTTTCCCCAATTTCACTTCTATTGGTCCACACCCTTTTTTAATGGCTTTCCAGGCACCATATGTCTCAAATGTATAATAAAATCTAGGCCATAGCTCAGTGATTTCCATCAAAGTTCCTTTTGTCTTGCTTCCCTTTTCTAATCTTCTACATCCTGTGGCGTTCCCCCCTTCCTCCTTCTCTTTGGCAGATGTCCTGAGCTTTTTTGAGCTTCCTGACAAGCCGAAAAGAAATTACTTTAGTTGTGAAATTTGTAGGACAGGCAATTTTAGCAATTGCTGAAAATATTACAGAAGGAAAATCAACAAAGTGTTCAGATGCTTACCAATGGAAATGAATCAGAAAGAGGCAGGATATGAATGGACAGGTAAGCCCCATTTTCTCTGTCCTCTATAAACTAAGATATTTGTATCTTTAGAGAGCTGTGAACAAATTTTCCCTAACATAGCTGAGCCAGGGGTTAAATTCACTTACCTTTGCTACCTGTTCGCAAATGTGAGTGCGCACACGTGTCTCCTCCACACATGCGCAGAACTTTCTGCGCATGCACAGAGGGTCAAAAACAGGACATGATGACATCCAGGCAGGTGGGTGGAGCCTCCCGCTGCCAGCGCTACTGGTTCGCCCGAACCAGATAGAACCAGCTGAATTTCACCACTGAGCTGAGCCCTTATCTGTGTTCTTATCAGAATTTCCACTAATACACTATCTGCAAGGAAGTTCAGCTTCTTCTAATTTTTTATTTTCAAGGTGAGGAATTAGCAGGGCAGGGAATTCTGAAAATCCTCTTTCTTCCAAAAGCTTTTCTACTCCTCAAAGGTAGTTATTACTTTTATTTCACCCACCCTGTTTTCATCATTTTCTCTATTCTTCCAGTGTTTTGTGACCCATGCTAGTAAAGTAAATCAACAGAAAACTGCCATTCAATGTTAAGATAAAATATGAAACCTAATTTGTTCTTAAATTGGCTCACCTTTCTTTTTGACTGGTGGTTGAATTTCTTCTGCATGAGAGAAAAAAAAAATCACGAAGTTACTAGTGAATTTGAAAGACATTCTTCTGCAGTCTTAAACAATAAAAAAAGAAAAGAAATTCTGACAAAATTAAGGAAGGGCCTAACTTCTGTCTGAATAGGATGAGCTTCGAAGTAACTATTTGTTATTTTTAATCTCGACTGTATTGTTTTTATAAATAACTCAAGGCAATGATCATACCTAATACTCCTCCCTCTTCTTTTCCCCACAATCACAATCCTGTGAGATGGGTTGGACTGAGAAGGAGAATAATTGGCTTGAAGTCATCCAGCTGGCTTTCATGGCTAAGGAGGGACTAGAACTCATAGTCTCCCGGTTTCTGGCCTGATGCCTTAACAACTAGACTAAACTGGCTTCTTTAATGCTGACTGCTGATTCAATAGGATATCATTCTGGAAATCAGACAAGTGGCTGTCCAGTCTCTTCTTAAAAACCTCTAATGATGAAGCACTATAATTTTAAGTACAATGGCACATACAGGTTCTTGCTGATTCACTATCTTCACCAGTTTATGAGTTTGAAGAATTTCACTGATCCTACTTTATAGCTAAACCTGACCAATTCCATTTAAATGCTCCCTTTCCCCCTTGTTCATACAGTTAACCCTGTTGGGACAAAAGCTATTTCATTGGATATGGCAAGAATTAGATACCAGAGCATTTTCTTCCATTTTGGAGGACATGAACTGAAAGCTGCTAAGTTTCTCCTCCATAGAGAACTGATTCCATCAGGGACGTCATAATTTGTTCCCAAGTGAGGGACAAATATCTGTTGTTTTTTTTCACAATTAATAAGGAAGAATACTTTCAAGTAATAAATCTTTGTCCATCATTACTATTTTGACAGTAGCTGCATCTCTTATACAAAATGGAATGCCATTAATTTCTACAGTGTCTTTCAGTAAAAACAAAACAGAAAAAACCCCACTCCCCTAGGTGGCCTAGAGTTTAAAATGGAAGCGCTACATTCAGACAAAGCCATCGGCTCCATTGAATGGGCAGCCTTATTTGCTTCTTTTCCATTTTCTGCATTAACTTTGGTAGAACTGCACAAGCTTAAGAAGAGGCCCTAGTTGCAAAGGCAACACAATGTAGATAAATGTGCTAAACTCTGTCTCTGATCAGTTTTTTGTAGGGTACTTATAGGAGTTAAGATAAAATCCAATGAGAAAGGCTTCCTCATTTGGGAAAAGTCAACTTGATCAACTAGATTTCCATACAGGGAATCTTTAAAAAGTCAGTTTTCCTAGATCAATGATCTTCTGATACAATATTATTTAAATAGGGGCAAGCAGCCACTTTCCTTGGTTCTTGAAGAATTCATATTCAATTTTTCCACATATAAAAAAGTAGTGTTTGGAAAACATCTCCCCCTATTTAAATATCACACAACTGTTAAAGACACAGGAATTTTACCAAAAAATAAAACAAGCCATTTAGGGCAGTAGCAACTTACTCAGGCTTTCAACTTTACTGGAGAACACCTTTAGTTATTCAGGCATGCAGCTTGCTATCCAGGAGCTGAGTATTCTGCATGGCTTTCAAATGATATTTATCCATTTATTCAGAGAAGGAAGGTGCAATTTAGCAGGAAGGCGCATAATTAGCAAAGCCCTGGCAGTACAAAACTGCATTGTTTCTGCCCTAATACCCATTTAATCACACAAAGCATATGATTCTTTATAAAAATCAACAAACCTTTTACTTTCAGGGATGGCTCTCCTTCACCTAAGCCAAGAGATAAAATAATAAGCAGAATAAAATGAACAGCAATAGCAATAGTGATAGCACTTAGACTTATATACTGCTTTACAGTGCTTTACACCCCCCTCTAAGCAGCTTACAGAGTCAGCATATTGCCTCCAACAATCTGGATCCTCATTTTACCCACTTTGGAAGGATGAAAGGCTGAGTCAACCTTGAGCCTTGTGAGATTCAAACTGCCAAATTGCAGACAGACAGCAGTCAGCAGAAGTAGCCTGCAGTACTGCACTCTAACCACTGTGCCACCACAGGTCTTGAATAATAATAATCACAATAATAATCTAGTTGTATTCTTATTCCATGCTAGATTATTTTCACATTTAAATGCATTCAAACATTACATGTTTGGTACACTGGTAAATGAAAAAAGAAGCAGCAGCTCCATTTTGAGATTTTTTACTGCTGTTTTTTATGAGCATATCAGGATTTATGGAAATGATTGTGATCTGCGATAGGAATGGACAAATATGAGTTTATACATTGAATTCAAGTGGCTCAAGCACCAAACAAATATTTTTCATTGCAATTTCAGTATTTTCCATTCCAATAGCATCTATTGTGCCAAATCTGGTTCTACTCCCTAAACTCAGTTTATTTATTTATTTATTTATTTATTTATTTATTTATTTATTTATTTATTTATTTATTTATTAAATTTATATACCGCCCTATTCCTAAGGGACTCAGGGCGGTGAACAGCGAACGATAAAAATACATGTAATACAAACGATTAATAAAAAATCAATTAAAATATACTAAACACTCTGGTCCTAGATAATTCAAGACATCCCAGTTTAAAATAAAATCAAAAAAGCAATATAAAGGGAAAGTTAGGCCAGGCCGGCCTGCTGAAACAGGAATGTTTTGAGGGCACGGCGGAAAGTGCACAGATCCGGAATCTTCTGTATCTCTGGGGGGAGCTCGTTCCAGATGGTGGGTGCCCCCACAGAAAAGGCTCTCCCCCTGGGGGCCGCCAGTCGACACTGTTTGGCTGACGGCACCCTGAGAAGGCCCTCTCTATGGGAGCGTACTGGGCGGTGAGAGGCTATTGGTGGCAGAAGGCGGTCTCGTAAGTACCCCGGTCCTAAGCCATGGAGCGCTCTAAAGGTGGTAACTAAGATCTTGAAGCGCACCCGGAAGACCACAGGGAGCCAGTGCAGCTCGCGCAGGAGGGGAGCCACATGGGAGCGCCATGCTGCTCCCATAACTACCCGCGTGGCCGCATTCTGGACCAGCTGGAGCCTCCGGGTGCTCTTCAAGGGGAGCCCCATGTAGAGAGCATTACAGTAGTCCAGGCATGAAGTGACGAGGGCATGAGTGACCGTATTTAACGAGTCCCGATCCAGAAAGGGACGCAACTGGCGAATCAGGCGAACCTGATAAAAAGACCTCCCGGCCACAGCCGTCAAGTGTTCTTCTAAAGACAGCCGTGAGTCCAAGAGGACGCCTAAGTTGCGAACCCTCTCCGTGGGGGGCAATGACTCATCCCCAATAGTCAGTGATGGCACCAATTGACTATATCGGGACATCGGAAACCACAGCCACTCGGTCTTGGATGGGTTGAGCCTGAGTCTGTTCCTCCCCATCCAGATCCGTACAGCCTCCAGGCACTGGGACATCACTTTAAGGGCATCATTGGGGTGGTCCGGGGTATAGCTGAGTATCATCAGCATACTGATGATACTTCACCCCAAAACCACGGATGATCTCACCCAGCGGCTTCACATAAATGTTGAACAGAAGGGGTGAGAGAACCGACCCCTGTGGCACCCCACATACAAGGGGCCTCGGGGTCGACCTCTGCCCCCGTCAACACAGACTGCGACCGATCAGAGAGAAAGGAGGAGAACCACCGCAACACGGTGCCCCCCACCCCTAACCCTTCCAACCGGTGCAGCATGATACCATGGTCGATGGTATCAAAAGCTGCTGAGAGGTCTAATAGGACCAGGACAGAGGAACAACCCCTGTCCCGGGCCGTCCAGAGATCATCTACCAATGCGACCAATGCCGTTTCCGTGCTGTATCCAGGCCTGAAGCCCGACTGGAACGGATCTAGATAAGCCGATTCATCCAAGTACTGAGGAAGCTGTCGCGCTACCACACTCTCAACAACCTTCGCAACGAAGCGAAGGTTGGAGACTGGACGGTAATTAGCCAACACTGCTGGGTCCAGGGAAGGCTTCTTGAGGAGAGGCCTCACCACCGCCTCCTTCAAGGCGGTGGGGAAGGCACCCTCTCTCAAGGAAGCATTTATAATCCCCTGGAGCCAGCCTCGTGTAACCTCCCGAGAGGCCAGCACCAGCCAGGAGGGACACGGGTCCAATAAACATGTGGCCGCGCTCAGTCTGCCCAGTATCTTGTCCACGTTTTCCGGAGTCACAGAATCAAATTCTTCCCAGATAATATTCTCAAGACTTGCCTCCATCCTCCCTCCCGAATCTACCCAGTCAGAGTCCAAATTTTCCTGAATCTGAGCGATTTTGTCATACAGATATTGTACAAAGTCCTCAGCTCTACCCTCCAAGGGGTCCTCCCGCGCTTCCTGGTGGAGCAGGGAGCGGGTCACCCTAAACAGGGCGGCTGGGCAATTATCTGATGATGCAATAAGAGCGGAAAAATAGTTACATTTTGCCGCTTTTATTGCCACCAGGTAGGTCTTAATATGAGACCTTACCAGTGTTCGGTCAGATTCAGAACGGCTGGCTCTCCAACTGCTCTCCAGGCGTCTTTTCCAGCGTTTCATCTCCCTCAGCTCCTCGGTGAACCAGGGAGCCAGGTGAGATCGATGCCGGGTCAGAGGCCGCAAAGGCACGATCCGGTCCAAAGCTCCAGCGGCCGCCCTATCCCAGGCAGCCACTAGGTCTTCAGTCGAGCCGTGTGCCAGAGCCTCAGGAAATGGCCCAAGCTCCGTCTGGAACCTATCCGGGTCCATCAGGCGCCTGGGGCGGAACCACCTTATCGGTTCCGCCTCCCTGCGGCGGGGTGTGGCGGTTCGAAGGTCAAAGCGAAGGAGGGAGTGATCTGACCATGACAAGGGCTCGATCGCTATATCCCCTATCTTGAGACCACTCAGCCACTGACCAGAAACAAAAACCAGGTCCAGCGTGTTTCCCCCCGTGTGAGTAGGGCCATGAATTAATTGGGTCAGGTCCATGGCCGTCATGGAAGCCATGAACTCCTGAGCCACCTCAGACGCCTCACCGACGGACGGCAGGTTGAAGTCCCCCATGACCATAAGTCTAGGGGTATCAATCGCCACCGCGGCTATAATGTTGAGTAGTTCAGGCAAGGCCGCTGCCACGTGGCAGGGAGCCAGGTACGTAACCAGCAGGCCCATCTGCACCCCATGACCCCACTTCACAAGGAGGAACTCACATCCGGCCGTCTGAGGAACAGTGGCCTCCCTCGGACTAAGACCCTTTTTAATGATAACTGCCACCCCCCCGCCCCTTCCCTGTGACCTTGGCTGATGAAATGCCCGGAAACCGGGTGGGCACATCTCTACGAGAGGGACTCCCCCCTCCTGGCTGAACCAGGTCTCCGTAATACCCACCAGATCCGCTCCCCCCTCCTGAACAAGATCACAAATGAGGGGGGCTTTATTTACCACGGACCTGGCATTGCATAGCATCAGCCGAAGGCCCAGGGCCTGAGGGTCTGTGCCACCTGGGGAACGAGAAGAGCATTGGGGGCCGGAGCGTGCCACCGCTTGAAGACAGCGAGCACGCACTCCCGCAACTTGATGTGGCCCCCTACTCCCGCCATATCTGCCCCTCCCACCTACAGTACTGATGTAATGTCTATCAACAGCACAAGCTCTAACCCTCTCCTTGGCCCCGGATTCAGCATCTCCTCCGCCGTGCTCTTCAGATGGACTAGACCCTGTCCCTCACGGGTTAATCCCTGAACCCATACAACCCACCCCCCTCCCGGGAGGCCCCCCAGCCTCATTATTTACATTGGAAACCACCCTCATCCCAGATCCCTTTAAAATAGAATTTGAAAAACTATCTAAAAAACCCCAAAGCTTCCGGTTCTTAGCATACCACCTCTCAGGGTTCCAAAACCCGTCCTTGAGGGCGGCCCTAGATAACTGGGAGGGCCAAACTTGCGAGAGGGGGGAATCTCGCAGTGCTAGGAGTTCTGTTATTGAATACATCGGAGGTGAGATAGAATTGGAGGCGATGAAAGGCCATTTTCTTCTTAAGGTGTTAAAGATGGTTTAAAACAGATGGTTAAGACAAAAAGGGTAAAGTAGATAATTGTACAAGGAAGCTAAAATAATAGAACATCGGAATACCATCTCCCTCTTACAGTGATGGGAAAGTCTTGTGATTAAAATAAGTTAGTCAAAAAAGGGGGATGAGAGTCTCAATGACCGCCCTCTCATGGCGACCAGTCCAGAGTTACAGAGACAAAGGAGAAGATGGTCCGTCCCATCCACTTGTATAAATATTACAAATAAATTGTTCAAGACTCTCGATGTCTATGCTTCCTCCCTTTCTGATACCAGCAAAAATCCGAAGATAAGGTCGAAAAAAGCAAGGTGGAGCATCCAGGCGGAAGAGATGAAATCAAATAATCAGGATAACTAGGATAGTCAAGGAGGAAAAGATATTTAAAATAAAGGCTATAAGTTGATCGAATAGCTGCAAGTTTTTCACTAAATGGCCAAACTAGGCCTAGGTCTAGTAAGGGTGGGGGGGAGAAGCAGTCAGGGGAAGATCAAAAAATGTCTTCAGTTCTCAGCCCCCACCACTACCATGCTCTATTAGATAGGGCCATTCAGGTGATTAAGTTGAATTCAGGTGATTAAGTGAATGTCCAGGCCCCCTTCCCATTACATCGAGGGGGGGTAACTGCTTGCAGCAAAGCCCTCTCCATCGTCTAGAGAGGGCATCCTCATAGCTAGCCTCCTGGTGTTGCTGCTGCTGTTGGTGTCATCATCGCAGTTGCAAGTGTCATTTTGGTCAGCTCCGCCTCCGTATCCATGGCTGCCGCCCCTGCGTCGCCGCCCGCAGTGCCCAGTACACAGCAAATCAAGTTTACAGCAGCCCAGGGACCGCCGCTGGCGCTGCCTGCGCCGCCACCGCCACAGCAACATCGCTGACCGTTGCCTCAACCGCTCCAGCCCCGCAGCTGTTTGATTCATGACAGTCAGCTGGGCTTCGGTTTCAACGTTCGCCGCCGTTTACCGCCCGCCGCGCCATCCCTAACTAACTCCACGGCGGCCGGGTGTTCTTCCGGCTCCATCTACGGCTCAATCGAGCCGGCTATGCTTCAGCTTGCTGGGCGGGGGTTGTAAGATGGTCAGCTGGCCCCCCAACACCCTCGAAAATGCCGGACATCGCCCCCTCGCCTTGGCATTCAATATAGATTCGCCATATTGGTCTGCTACCCGGAAGGAATCTCTGATTTGATACATGCTCGCCTCTATCATCTTTTTTATTCGTCCTGATAGCCTCAGATGATATGGTGGCAATGTTTGGGCTCTTTTTTATTATTTGGGAAAGCTAGGGCTTTTTCCTTGACCCTAGCCCTGGGTTGCCCATATATATCCTACAATTGTTTAGGCAGTTTGAAAAGCTCTAATTAAATAAAGAGCCTCCAAAAATCCCTTAACTTTGAGATTTTGACATGTATCATTAGTTGATTAGAAGTAATTTGAACACATTGTCATTGAGGACAACCACTTCCTGCCTGGGCCTTTGACCTTTCAGATAAACTGAATGATATTTTTTCATAATTCCCAGATGTTCATGAATTACAACCTAATATAACTGGAGTGTGTCAGATTGTTAAAGGTTGCTATCATTACCAGGGCTACTTCAAATTTAATTCCTAAATGGTACTTCAACGTGTAAGGGAGCAGTAACATAGCATCTGTCTGCAATTGCAAAATGTGTGTGTGTGTGTGAGTGTGTGTATACTAAATGAATAAATGAATTCATTTTATAAATGGATAAATACATTTTCTGGGATTATGTAGCTGTCCTCTGCAATTATCATATGATCTGGGGGAAAAATGAAGCAGCATTAAAAAAATATCAGAGAGGTGCTATGTTTGTATTTCCTCATGTTTTGGAATGCAAACTATTGTCTGTTCCTAATAATGACCATGACAGTTCTTCTATTTAAAAGAAAAATATCTTTCAATCAAGCCTTAAAAATAGGAAGACTTCTAGTATCTTCCCTCTTTTGGAGTTTTTAATTGGTATGTGAAATACATGGTTTCCAAAAACATAAAAGAATCTTCAAACGTTAGAATTATAATCTGCCTTAGTTTTGAGCTTTTATGAACATTATTACTATAATGTACATTTTTAATTAGAAATTATGGACTTTTGAAAGTATTGCTGCGTTGTATTTAATATAGGGTTTTTCAGAAAGAATATAATTCGTTCAATTCTTTTTCAAATAAAATATAGGATGTAAATGGAAAGTGAAATTCTCTCTGTAACTCTATGTTTTGTGATTACAGTTTTATACTTTTATTGTCACAATTGAAAAACCTTATGTGACGATTCTTGTTTAGGAAGGACTAGAGAGCTGCATTTCTGCTTCAGTAGCATGGTTAAATGATCTGACACTCTATCAAGAAATGGGACCCAGTGGTAAAACAACATAATGGTTAGTATTTGCAGGCGGTACTAATCGAAGATCCCCGCAGTGGCTGAAATTAGGTGCTACTTCAAACTGTCAAATGTCCTTGTCAGGAGCAGTGCTTTTGTTCCAGCTGAGTTTTAATTATATTAGTTAAAAAGGCATGTGATCTGGGCTATAAAGGAACATCCCAATCATGAAATCATTGCTTACAGTACTCCTCAACTTACAACAGTTCATTTAGTGACTGTTCAAAGTTACAAAGGCATTGAAAACAGTGACTTATGACCATTTTTCACATTTATGACCAGTGGTGGGATTCAGCCAGTTCGCACCACTTCGGGAGAAGCGGTTGTTAATTTTCTGAGCAGTTTGGTGAACTGGTTGTTGGAAGAAATCATTAGGGCAGAGAACCGGTTGTTAAATTATTTGAATCCCATCACTGCTTATGACCATTGCAGCATCCCCATGGTCACATGATTTACATTTGACAACTGGTTCAAATTTATGGTGGTTGCAGTGTCCCAGGATTATTTGATCATCTTTTGCGACATTTTGATAACCAAAGTCAGTGGGGAATCCAGATTCACTTAACAACCGTGTGTCAGCCCTGGAGGCCATCTTTTTCTTTGGATCTTCAGGGCTGCCACACTTAGTGCTGTGGGAAACTGGGAGGGGGGATTGAATGGAGTTGTAGAGATATCTAGCCATGACAACATTCTTTTCTCTGGGAGTCAAGGACATTCAGCCTGCACCTGGAGTGACATGACTAGGAGGCATCTCCAGTTGGGACGGTGGATTGTTTGGACCATGTGATGGACATGTGCGTGTAGGGGATGGGACTTCGGGTTTTCTCAGATGTGCCAATATGACATCTCTAATAAAATGGAACTTTGAGGAACTTCTAGCCTCAGAGTCTTCTTTTGTTGGAGGTGTTACCTGGATCCCCAACACCATGTTACTAATTTAACAACTGCAGTGATTCACTTAACAAATATAGCAAGAAAAGTTATAAAATGGGGCAAAACTTACTTAACAAATTTCTCACTTAGCAACATAAATTCTGGACTCAATTATGGTTGTACATCAAGAACTACTTGTACTTCAGTGGTCCCCAACCTTTGGGGCACCAGGGACTGGTTACGTGGAGAGAGGTTTTTCCTCAGACTGGAGGCGGTGTGGTTTCATGTGTTGCCTGCATCCTACAGATGCGGTTTCACTTATTTGCGTGGCCTGGTTTCTGGCATGCTGGTCCACGAATCAGGGGTTGGAGACTGCTGTTCTTTATCCCAAGTAGCAGATAAGCAGCATATACATATCTATCTATCTATCTATCTATCTATCTATCTATCTATCTATCTATCTATCTATCTATCTATCTATCTATCTATGCATATACAAAAATTTCCATTGTCACTTAAGAACCGACCTACTACAGACCCCCCAGTGTCACAGCTATCATTTTGCCTAAAATCATTTTGCCTAAAAACTACATAAACATGAGCCTCAAATATGTACTGTTTTATTATTATGTCTAAACAATAGTTCATACTATGCTATAGGAAAAAAAAATCTGGTATGGCAAATTCATTTAAAAAGAAGCTAATTCTGAGCTGTTAAGCCATTTATTTGTGAGTTTCATTAGAAGTTCACAAGGACTGGCCCGTAACCAATTTTTAAATTACTTTAAAAGGGGAAAAACGTCCCCATTACATCCCAAGCTCCCCAAGCCCATAACATGGGCTGTTGTTTAGACAAAACAATCAAAAGCCTCTGAGTTGTTGGACTTAAGTTATGCAGTTTCCCAAAATTACTGCCAATGTATATGTTGACAAGACCATAGGTAGCATATTAGCATTCAGATTTTCTTTCAGTTGGACTGAAATGTTATTGTTGATGCCAGTAGCTCTGACACCTACTGATTAATACAAAATGTAAGGTGGGACAAGTGAACCCCCTTACATTTGAAAGCATCCAAGGTCCATTTAGAATTGCTGTTGCTCAAATATTCCTCTCTCACACAAAATTAAAATGTAAGGCTTATGAATAGTACCGCTGAAGCTAATTCCTTGGCAGCATGTTTGTCCTGTAGTTCTATCATTTTTTATATATTTTAGAGCAAGGCTGAAAATAATGCTAACATTTTAATTCTGGCATTCTTCCCTTAATAGCGCATGGATTTATTTTACAAAAAGAAAAAAAAGGAACTATGCTGGCCATTTTGTAAACTTTAGTGCTTTAAGAATGACATTTCATATTAATTTTTGCTTTAAAAAAATTGTGCAGCAAGATAAATCTAATCAACAGACTAACTTAAACTTACCTTTTCCATTTTCATCTTCATCTTCAAATATGAGGTCAGACATTAAAGAAAGAAAGCCATAAATGGAATTGGTGCTCTCTTCCACAGCATCATGCATGATTCTCAATGGATCCGTGGTAAGTTTGTTTATGGATTGTCCTAAATACAAAATAGAAAGATAAGAGGAAGGAAGGAAGAAATACTGTAAAAACTGATTAACTTTGAATTAATTAACTGATTTATAACCCCTTTAAAAGAATACCTCTTCTAAGAAGTTAGCCTTGATATAAGTTATAATGAGACTACAGCATTAGAGTAGCCCTGCTGGATCTTTTGGTTCACCATTCACCCAATTTAAAGAGATGTTTTTTTCAACTCTTTACAGTCGCTTTTGGGTTTTACCTTCATCCAAGAGCTTGTTTGATTCTCTCAAACAGCTCTAGAAGATTGGTGGGTGAAGCAGGATTTATTTTTGAAAAATCCATTCTGATTTTCCTTCAGCAAGACTTAGCCTTCCATACACTTAATTATTTCTTGTATAATTACCATTTCATTCAGAAAAAGCATTAAACTGAAAAGGCTAAAATTTCCTGAATCTCTCTTGGTTTCCTAGCTAATTGTCCATTTCAAATACATTGAAAGAAGTCCACAACATTTCCCACAGTGCATATTTAATAATTATTATTTACAGTATTCTTGTTCTGACAGTTTATGCTTCTAATGATGTTACATATAAGTAACAATTTTTGTTTTATTTCCTGAAGGAAACTTTTCCTGGACACATTTTTACAGCTTCCTGGACACTACAATCAATCTATGTTGGTTAGCTTCCTGTACTTTGCTGATCCTTTCTTACAATGTGATACAGGTAGTTCTCAACTTACAATAGTTCATTTAATGACCGCTCAAAGTTACAATGACAATAAAAACAAGTGACTTATGACCATTTTTATGATTCTTGACGAATGTATCCTTTCTTTTATGTATACGAGAACGTATGCACCAAGACAAATTCTTTGTGTGTCCAATCATACTTGGCCAATAAAAATTCTACTCTATTCTATCCTATTTTTCACACGACCGTTGCAGCATCCCCATGGTCATGTTATGAAAATTCAGACACTTAGCAAATGACTCATATTTATGATGGTTGTAGTGTCCTTGGGTCGTGTGATCATCTTCTTACAAGCAAAGTCTATAGAGTAGCCAGACTCACTTTACAACCATGTTACCAAGTTAACAACTGCAGTGATTCAGTTAACAACTGTGGCAAGAAAGGTAATAACAGAGTAAAACTCACTTAACAAATGTCTCACTTATCAACATAAATTTTGGGCTCAATTGTGGTCCTAAATTGAAGACTACCCATTTTTCTTGCTGAGTCTCAATTAATTCTACTTTTAAATAACCCCAACATGCTATCAAGGAATTGGTTGTGTTTACTTTTTCTTTCAGTTTCCTTTTCATCCATCCACTCATTTTTCCTTTTACAGTATTCTAAAGCACACTTATTTTAGTCTATCAAGAAATTTGGTTTTTTTCTATCATGTCATAAACATAAACAGTTTCTTGCATGCCCTGACCATTTTGATCTAGTGGTTGATAACTTATTTCTAGATATAATTTATATTTCTGGTTAAACATCTTGAACAGAAATCTTATGATGAAACCAATCTTCATAATAGACAAGATTTTATAACTTTACTCAGATAAAAAAGTAATATGTCCGCCAGTATGTCCTTCCCTGTTGTTTCTACAGAGTTTGTTTTCAGAAATGATTGTATCCAACTGATTCTCACTGTTCCACCAAATTTCCAATAACAATTATATCTATGATCTCATTCACTAGTAAGTTCTTGAATATTCCCATTTTAGCTTGAAGACTTCTTTCATTGACACAGAAATGTTTACTTATCATATTTTACTGTTGTTGCCATTATTGTTGTTGTTGTTGTTGTTGTTGTTGTTGTTATTATTATTATTATTATTATTATTATTATTATTATTATTAGATATTCACGGCATTTTTTCTAAACTCTCACATCTATCCATTAATCCAGTTCCAAATTGCTTGTATGTCTTACTTTTTTTCATTTTTATAACTTTATTAAAATTTTAAAGTAAAAGATAAAAAGATAACAAGAAGCAATATTTATGGTAAAACAGGAAGGAAAGGGAAGAAAACAGAGAAGAATAGAAAGAAAAGTACAGAAAAGAAATATAAAGAAATAACTTCAATATTCTTTTACAGCAGTGAAGTATAACTGTAAATTGACCTCTTACTCAATACTTACAACATTGTTTAGATTTCTCTATAATCTTTCTAATCATCAAAAATATATATCGTAATTTTATTTTATTTTTCAAATTCATGCAAAAAGTCAATAAAGCGTTTCCAATCAACACTGAACTTTGACAATGTTCTTTCTCTAATTAAAGCCAATTTGTCCATCTCAGCAAGTTCCATCATCTTCACCATCTATTCCTCTATTGGGGTATAGCTGACTTTTTCTACCTTTCTGCACATAATATAAGCATTTGTCATATATAAAAACAAGTTCCATGTTTTTTTCTCTTATCTACTTATCCATCAGTCCCTTAAACATTCTGGTTTAAGTTGTGTACTAATCTTTAATTTTTTATTATTTTCTCATTTATTATATTGTATGATATGATATGATATTATTATTATATTATGTTATATTATGTTATATTATGTTATATTATTATTATTATTATTATTATTATTATTATTATTATTATTATTATTATTATTATTTATAATATTTATTATATGTGATTGACTCCAAAATTTTCTAGCTTTTTTACAACATAAATTTGAAGGAAATCTAGACAGTTTTTCTGGTGACATGAAACAATATATTGCCTTATATTATTTTCTGAAATATCTCACCCTTCCAAACTTGATGCTGCTTAGCCCCTGTTAACTTTCCCCCAGGGGATTACTTCAAAGCTGCTTTGGCAGTGTGTTGATGTTAAGTGTCAGCAGTTTGATTTCACTTCAGTTCAAGGAGAGTCCATTTCTCCAATTTTGTTTGTCCAGAAATGTTCCCCAAGGCCTGTCAAATGTGAATCTTTCCACTGGGTACTACATTTCATCAACACATTGATAGCCTTGAGCTCTGCTTGTCTAGTTATTCCTATGAGTAGAGCAGGTAGCATTCTAAGAATGTAATGAACTTTCTAATTTCTAGGCTTCGATTTGTCATCTAGCAGCCTGAATTTGATTTTTCAGGGCAGGCTAACTGCATTTTCCAATGTCACTAGTGTCAAAGGAGACCGGGATCATTGCCTTATCCCTCACACTGTTTGTCTGTTTATTTAAACAATGTGTAAAATCTGCCAACTTTGTACTAGGCAGGCAAGTCACTGTGTGATTATAGGTACTAATGAAGCTGAGTAGGGGTAAAGAGTTAAAATATTCATCAGGACAGGTCAATGCGAACTCTTGCCATTTTGTCATTGCTGGGGTTAGAAATGGACAGCTATACATATGATGTGCAACACTTCACAAAGCCATCTCTGCCTCTAATGTTCAAATCACCCAAGTTAAAATAAGAATAGTTATTCTAATCTTGATACTTGTTGTCAGATTAGCATTTCTGCCAGCACAGAAAAAAATATAAGTTTAGAAAGCTAATTCTCTCGCTCTTCATAGGTTCATTTGGAGAAAGAAGTTATTTCCTATCATTACTATTACAAGTAATAAGGTAAATTCTCACATCAAGATAAACTGCATCTTCCAAACAGCTGTGAAAGCTCAGAAAGCATGGTCATTACTGAAAATTGTAGAAATTAAATATCAACAGGGAGATTGTGCTAAGATGTACTGTGGTCTGTTTAGTTTGGTATAGTATAATATACGAATCAGGCTATGATGGCTTGGTCAGCAAGCTATAACTGAACATAATGTCTGAATACAACTCAGAAAAGGTGATGGTAGCAGGGATACCTCCAAAAATGATTGAGTAGAAAATTGATCTAAAGGATATTTTAGCCATAAGGAAGTTATTAAAAACTGAGAACATGAACATTTAGGGCAGATCTGCATTCTCTGCTTGTCCCACCAGCAATATAGGCCACCCACTGTTTCCTGAATAACAGGAACAGATGATGTCATCTTCCATTCATGCCTAGTATATTCCATACTTATTTTTTTCAGCTGTTCTTCAGGTTTTACTTTTTTGCCCAAACCATCTTAAACCCTTCAGGACAGTGGTCTGCAATGCTTTATTCTGATTGAGTGACAACCTCAGTTCTAAATAGCCACAGTATCCATCCCTCCAAAAGCTGGTCACTGACCTATGGAATTTTTTTTATCTTGCTTCCCAGTAAAGCTCAATTTGCTACGCCTTCCTGATCTTGGAAACAAGATCAGGGACAGAAATATGGGTCAACAAAAATCTATATGGTATACAAACTGAAATAGAGAGCCAGTTTGGTGTAGTGTTTAAAGCATAGAGGCTAAAAACTGGAAGACCATGAGTTCTAGTACCACCTTGGGCACAAGCCAATTGGGTGACCTTGAGCCAGTTGCTTTCTCTCAGCTTTTGGAAGGAGGCAATGGCAAACCACTTCTAAAAAAAATCTTTCCAAGAAAACTGCAAGGACCTCTCCAGGCAGGTTCCAAGAATCCTATGTGACTGAATGGTAGGAAAACATTCCCTGAATTATAGGTAGTCCTTGATCAGTGATTCTATCATACAGCAACCATTTACAGTTACAGTGGTAATGAAAAAGAAACTTTGCAATCAATCCTTACTTTTGCAGATCTCTAAAGCAAAGGATAGCTGAAGTAAAATCATAAGCACAGTTATGGTTTCACTAGCGACCACTTTGCTTAAGGACCAAGTTGTCAGTTCCAATTGTGGTTGCTTAAATGAGGACTACCGGTAGAATTACAAACTTGCTCCAGTTAGATATTTGTCATAAAATTTCAAGCAACTATTTACATTGTTAGTCATTCCTGCTTTGCAATACTAAACTTCTTTATAAGGTAGCCTTGTAATAAAGCCTTTTGCCTTTATTTATTTATAGCAATAGCAGTTATATCCCTCTACATAGTGCTTTACAGCATTCTCTGAGCAATTTACGATGTCAGCCTATTGCCCCCAACAATCTGGGTCCTCATTTTACTG